CGAGCATTATGACTAACAACACTCTGTCCCCATGATTATTTTTTTCTGTTGTGGTGCTGAGGACAGCAGAGACTAGGTGTGTAAGGTCAAGGTGACCCTGCAGAGTGATTGTAGTGCTTCACCAAACTTCAAAACAAAGACAAATGGTGCTGGGTTATTCTGCCCCCACATTCATATTCCCTGACTTTCCTTGATCATTAGAATTTGACTTTTCAATGAACTGTGGCAATGATTTATTTTTTTTCCTTATGTAAACTGCAAAACTTCTAATCATTTGGTCTAAATGGGTCTTTATGTTTTTTCTGTATGTGAATTCACAGAATTGTCTAGATCTGTAAGCAAATCCCTTTGGTTTAAATTAAAAACCTAACTGCAGCAGATCTACTCTTCAGTGTTACTCTTGTCTTATTAGCCTATTTCAGTGGGGGAAGAATTCAGCTTGTGATAACAGACCAGAATTGTAATTATTACTACAAAAGAGAAACAAACTTGCGTATCCAATACCAGTAGAGGGAACCCATGTTCCTTCTGGCGGACTTAAAAGCCTGTCTTGTGTTTCTTTAGGACTCCTACTTTAATGAGAAGTTTGTCCTCTTCATGGTTGCATGTCAAAAAGCAAGACTTTTTTTTGTATTAAAGGTAGTAGTTCTGTGAGGTACTTCAGTACTGCGCAGTAGCAAATATGTGTGCGGTTTATGTGCATTTTAACATAAAACTACAGGATTCAAACTTCTCTGACTGACCTCAATTGTAGACCAGACTTTAAAGTATGTTATGGAGGGAATAGTTAAGAGCATAGAAAAAGCAAATGTAGTGAAGGAGAATAAAGTAGGATTTAACAAAAGGATTTAATAATTATCTTGTGGTTTTTATAAGAGGAATATCTTTTGAGGCAATAAAATGTTAATGTATATAGGCATTTAGTAAAGCTGCAAATTATTTGGCTAAACTTCAAAAATGTTTATGAGGCATGTATCCTAGGGTGTGCAAAACATTGGCTAAGAGGGGATGAAAACAAACTGTGCAGACAAGGAAAATGATGGAGTGAATGGAGTTATCCAGGGAGGAGCTCTGCTACAGGATGCCTTGGAACTGATCTGCTTATTTAATATTCTGAGTGAAGCTGACCTAAAAAGTACAAGTCTGCTGATGCCACGGAGTTAGTAATACCTGTGGTATTGAGACACTAGAGCCTGAGGATATCATACCATTGAAAATGAGACTTTGACACCTGAATTAGACAGCAGAAGGAAATGTTGCAGCACAAAATATAAAATGGTGTACTTGCAGAGGAAAAAAATTAAAAGGAAAAACTTAGGGTAGAGCAATATTCCAGGGCACTGGAGTGCAAATGAATAGAAGAAAAATGGGTGAACAAAGAGCGAATGAGCAAGTATTCATACACTAATGAAAAAAAAAAAGAGAAGTCAGTATGACATATGACTATAAGGTATGATTATAAGAACTCCCATAGGCTCTACGTTATTAAATAGGCATGTATTTACTGAAGCATTTTTTCATATAGAAGTCCATATATAAACTGTGAGCAATATTACTGTATTGTTTGTATGAGAATCATCTGGTTGCCATCTAATAAGATCAAAGAGTGTTTTCTGGATTCTGTTCAGACATTAGGGCACAACTGAATGAAAAAGGAAAACTCATACTGTGTTTGCTTCTCTTCTGTCCTTCACAACGCTGCCTTTCCTATACCCAGGGGAAGTGGATTGTAAGGAGATGGGTGACTGTGTGCCAGGATCAGGATCTGCATCTACAGACTTGTGCCTTCCCGCGCTCGATTACCTCAGGAGATGTTCTCAGGTATGAAGAACAATCTTATGCAAGTACTAACCTGGCCTAGGAAGCAGTTCTAACCTTCAGGCTTTGCATCAATGGTTAGGTGTTTTGCATAAGCACAACAGAATCTATGGTAAGCCTATGGTAATAACCTGCACTGAGATCTGCAATCTGCAGGAATCTCATACTTTCAAGGCCAGCTAATGATGGGAAAACAGAGAAGAACACTCAGACCCAAGAAGTATGTGGGAAAATGTGAATTTTCAAAACCTAGTAGTAACATGTTCAAAGCTACATTCATTCTTATTTAAACAGTTATTGTATGCAGTGCTGGGAATGAAGGGGAAAAAAAAAACAACTCTGAGAATTCTCAGATCTTAAGAAAAGGAACAAGTTACACCCTCTAAAACACAGCAGCAGCTTATCTGTACCATGAAAACATATCTGAAGCTCAGAGCAAATCTCTAGCAATTAGAATGCTGGCAGGTTTCATGTAATCTTCTTGCAAACAGCACAGATTATCCAGGGTTATTAGGACAGTTTTTGTCATTTCATATTATTGTTTGTATTTCTGTAGTACCTGCGGGTCTTTTTGTTGGACTCAGGCCATGTTTTTTCTGGGTACAATACAAATGCATAACAAAGGATATTATCATAGCTGAAACAACTTAGTATCTAAATTCAGAGATAATGGGTGGATTCAGTACCCAAACTGAGAGGAGAAGGAAAGAATGAGGCTGCTCAGAACAATAAACAGCAGATGTATCAAACTGTAGTTGCTATCTTTTTCTCCAAAAAAAAAAACAACATTGTGAATATCTATGTATTTATCTAATGTATGTTCTATTTATACACTATGTGCATCACATCACTCTTCCTCATCCTTACAAATCCCAAGTGCACAGTGAGACAGAAACTTTTTTCTCCTCTTTAAAAGAAGCAGCCATTTTTATCTTGTTACACTTTTTAGCTTGCCAGTAGAAGAAAAACAGGAATGACTAAAAAGAAATCCCATCTGTATATTGCAAAACCATGGTTTACTTCAGAAAAGCCTGGTGAGATACTGGTAGCATCCCAGCTATAGCACAATTCTGCAAAGTTTGTATCTGTTTTATAATGGACAACCAGGCAATGAAGCTCTGAAGTAAACCTGTACAGATGCCTGTACCTCGGAGCCTTCTCTTCTCCAGA